TGCCAAAGGTAGTGCTTTTTAAGCAAAAACAATTGAATGATAAAAACATTGACCGCATTATTGATCTTCATGAAGTGATCGGCAGATGTGTCGATAGACGGCAACATATTTGTTAATAATGAAAAAGTGATAAAAGTTTATAAGTGATTGATTTAAGAATTGTATTAATAACAATAAGTTTTTATAAATTAATTTAACGCAAAATATATTGTTGATTAATAAATCCAATGTGATTTAATAGTCAGAAATTTTATTTAAAAAGTTAAAAAAAACGGATTATTTAACGGCAGTGGATAAAGTCGAGTAAGAGTGTATTTTTTGTATCATTTTTTTTTCTGTTATAAAAATTTGTTTATAAACTACTGCGCCATGGGTTAAAAGTGTAGCAATATTTAAAGGTAAGTGCCAAAAAAGAAAAAAAAATATTTATTTTGCTTTTATTATTACACAAAATTTTTAATTAAATAGTTGATCATTTTGTATTTCTTATGTATTCTTGTCCTTAAAATAATAACAATACATAATCATAATTTTTTTGTTAAAGATATGTACATATTTAAATATGCATTGGTTGTATATAACATAAGTCATTCTCTTATAAGAGAATGATTTTTAAACATTTTAATTTTTTAAAAAAATTAAATGATCAGAAATAAAATATTATTTTTTAAAATTTTATTTAACTGGAATTAATTGTGGGCAACGTAACACGTGAAGTACAGAATAAATGAAAATTTTAGAAATGCTTCTAAAATTAATATCATTTAAAATCACAATTTTTTATTAAAATTTTATAATGAATTGAAATCAAAAACTAAAAATGAAAATTATCGATGTATGTTTAAAAAAATTTTTTTTTTGAACAACGTTTATTTAAAAATGTTATTTATTTATATCATTTACAAAAAATTATAACATAAGACACATACCTTGAGCTATCGTTGGGTGTTCTATTTTGCTGGAACTTTATTGAAAAATAAAATAATTTTAAAATAATTTTCTAATTAATAGAATTAAATACACACGTGCACCGGCACAACACATTGCTAAAAAACAAACGAGATCAAAACAAAATAATGGTAAAGAGACCTGTCAAACGAAGAAAGCTTTGAGCAGAAAATGCGTAGAAGTGGATCGCAACTCAGACAAAAACCACTTCTAAATTGCAATAGGTACTCAAAGAAATGCAAATTCGCCGTGAAACTAGACTTTCGCTCAGTGCGGTACAGAAAAGGAGCTTTAATGTTGGGTCAACAAACTTTAACGTTTTTACAGCTGACACCGTTCAACATGGAGGGGATAAAAGGAGCGTTCACCAAGAAGAAGGGCTTGTTTTTTGTTCTACCGCGAAAGAAAGACTCCTGGCTCTGGCTTCAGTTGCAGCTAAAATTCCTTGACTAAGACGGCGGTGTCAACAGTGAAATTTTAGTAGTTTCTCAAACTTAGTGAAAAATTTTGTTCATAAATTATTAAATTTGTTAATATCAAAATTTAAAAATTTGTATTTATAAAATTGTGAAAACGTAAAAAGTGAATTTTATAATCAAATTTAAAACAAAGTAAAAAGTACGTACCAACTAATATCTTGTACATAAAAATTATTTTAAATTAAATTAAACTAAATAAATTATTAAATTTGTTAATATCGAAAATTTCAAAATTTGTATTAATAAATTGTAAACACTTAATAATTGAATTTTATAACCAAAGTCAAAACAAAGTAAAAAAATAAAAAGTACGTATAAATTAAAATTTTGTACATAAAGATTATATATATTTGATAATATCGAAATATCGAAAATTTTATTTATAAATTGTGAATACCTAAAAATTGAATTTTACAACCAAATTTAAAACAAAGTAAAAAGTACGTACAAACTAATATTTTGAACATAAAAATTATTTTACAGTAAATTAAATTAATTAAATTATTAAATTTGTTAATATCGAAATTTCAAAATTTGTATTAATAAATTGTGAAAACTTAATAATTGAATTTTACAAGTGGATGTAAAGCAAAATAAAGAGTACGTATAAATTAAATGTTATACATAATTATTTATTTGTTAATAAAATAAATCTTAACAATTTCTTTTCTAACGAACAAATAAATTAAAATAAAAATAAATTAAAAATTATATTTCAATAAAGGCAAATAGATACTTAAACAGATACAGAATTGGTAAAGCATATCTTATACTAACTTTTCCTACACGGTGCAAATTTAACAGAGGGAATCCAACTCAACGACGAGAGTAAGAGATATAGGTATACAAGATTCAGGGCTTCAACAGTCACGTGTGTCTATACCATAGTGTCGGAAGCGAAAGGTAGCTTTAACAGTAACCTAACGTCTCCGGCCCCTGGACGCTTTAACAGTGAACAGGGAAGGGCGTGTTATCTGCGACATATAACGCAACACACGTAGCTTTAACAGTCACGTGTGTCTGTGTTATATCGTGTCGGCTGTCTGCGGTGGTAGTATTTGCAACAACATATATCTCCAACTCAGTTCATCATCGACTTAATCTGGTTTCAGTCAGCTTGTTGCAGTTCAGGTGTTAGGAGCAATCAGAAGTGACTGGGTCCCACCAAATAAATTTCTTGTGTGGACCTTGGCGACGGCTGAGTTCAACCCCAGCTTTATACGAACCACAAGAAAGGTTCATTACAAACTTAAACATAACAAAGCTAGCATTGGCAGATGATGAAGAAATATTTAAAAACATAAGCATGCAACAAGTAAAAGATATATTTAATAAGCTGCAAAAAGAATTAAAATTGAAAAATTGTCTAGACATAATTATTCACAAAAAACCAAAAAGAATAAATGATACAAATGAAATGCTCAGGTTAATAGAAGAATATCATAAATCACTACACGGAGGACATTGCGGTATAAAAAGATGTATAAATAAACTGAAACAAAAATATGTATGGAAAAATCTGAATAAAATGGTTAAAAAATTTATCAATAACTGTGAAGTATATGCAAAAGTTAAAATAACAAAATACACAAAAGAACAGTATGATGTAACTGAAACACCAAACACATCCTTTGAAGTCATAACAATTGACATAGTAGGCCCACTTTTACCTTCAAATAATTTCAGATATATTTTGACACTTCAATGTGAATTAACGAAATTCATAGAAGCAATACCTTTAAAAAATAAAGAAGCTATCAGCGTTGCTAAAGCAATTGTTGAGAAATTCATTCTTAAATATGGTTGTTTCAAAAAGATGAAAACCGATAAAGGTACTGAATTTACAAACGAACTTCTAAAAAATATTTGTAAACTATTAAAAATAGAAAAAACCACTTCAACACCATTCCATCACGAAACATTAGGGACAGTTGAGAGAAATCATAGAGTTTTAAATGACTACTTAATGACCATGAAATCAGTAGATACATGGGATGAATTATTACCATACTATGTTTACAACAAATTACACTCCATTTGAATTAGTATATGGTAAATTATGTGCGTTACCATGTGAAATACTAGAAAATAAAAAAATGACATACGACATTGAAAATTATGGCAATGAATTAAAATTAAAACTAAGATATGCTCAAACCCAAGCTAAGCAAAAACTAATACAATACAAATCTATAACAAAAGAAAAACAGAAAAATATTAATGAATCAAATTTCAAAGTAAATGATTTTGTTTATATTAAAGTAGGAAACAAAAAGAAATTTGACAATCCATTTAAAGGCCCATATAAAATAGTGTCACAAAAAGGTAAAAATAGTACCGTATTAATAAATAATAAATATGTAGAACTACACAACAATAATTTAATCAAATGTAGAGCTAAAGAAATTTTTAAATGTAATTAAATATTAAATTAATACATTAATCTCAAAATTTGTTATTATTAATCTCATATAATTATTATATACAAAATACAAATTAAATACATTATATTATACTAAATATGTTAGTGAAAATATATTATACAAACATTTTAATGAATATATACTATACAAATAGTAAAATTTAAATCAAAATACTTTGATATGGATTAGTATCAGATCCACTAATCACATATAAACACATAAGTAAAATAATTAGTAGCATAAATTACCTTATGAATAACACTTATAATAATATATACAAGTAAAAATGCATAAGAAATAGATAACATATGTTAGAATAGTAAAATAGATACTGTTTAGAGTAGTAATAATTATTTTTAACATTGTTTTACACTGCAACACTGTTTGTTTGAAAGGTGATTTGCATTTCATTTTTGCTTTATTAAATCTTTGTTCTTGCTTTTTTGCCTTTTATGCTTTGTATCAAAATTTGCAACTCTCTCTTACCGGTTGATCGTTGGCGAAGACGCACGCATTTGTTTCTTTGGTTCACTCGTTTATAAATTTTCAAATTTTGTAAAATAAATAAGAATGTACATTTATATAAAATATTATCATTTCGAAACAATATATAAATAAATAATTACAAAGTGATAAAAAATATTATCATATCAAATCATTGGTGACCCCGACGTGATCGGATTGAAAAAATATACTCGGATTTAATTTCGTACAAAACATTTTATAATGCACATGCATTTTAATTTTGGAAACATTTTTCGATGAAGTTTGTCAACTCGGACAAGTTTAACATACATTTTGATTGCTATTGTGCATTCTTTCTATTTTTACTTTCGCTGCATTTATGTGCAAACTTTATTTTATGCTATCGTGTCATAAAATATATTCAATTAATTTCAGTTTAAAGTTCGGCAGATCGGACATATATAAACAATTTGTGCTATCGTGCATTTCTTTATTTTGGATCGGTATATGAACAAATATTATTTTATGCTATCGTGTCATAAAATAAATTTTAGTAAGTGTCGTGTTTAAGATTTATATTTGTCAATTCGGGCAAATACAAAACGCAATTTTCGGTGCAATCGTGCAACTAATTCATAATACGAACACGCTACATTTGAAATTTACACGAGTTAAATTATTGATCATGATAGACGAAGTTGAAGTAAATGGGGCAACAGAGCACTCAAGTGAGCCTTCACAAATTCTCTTAAAATCAAGATCCACTTCAATAAAGTTTCAATTAACAACATTCAATGAGACTCTGACTCCTGAATATTTAAGCAGTTTGTGTGATTCCGATATTTCTGTTCGGCTGGAGCATGTGGAGCGTCTGGCCAATAAATTTGAAAATACTCAATCTACTCTTGAGGAATTGGACATATCCGAATTTGATGGAATGGTCCGGTTTGATTTCGATATGTTGTACTTGAAAGTTCGATCAAAACTTCAACATGAGCTTCAAGTCAGACGTACATTCAATTCAAGTTGCTCTACAACAATACATAAATCGTCAGGTGAGAATCAGCAAGACATCAGGTCAATGGCGCATACAATTAGGCTTCCAGAATTACAAATACCAAAGTTTGATGGAAATTATACTGAGTGGCCTAGTTTTCATGCCATATTTGAAAACTTAGTTCACAATAACCAAGAACTATCTGAAACAGAAAAACTACAACATTTATTTTCAAGCGTAAAGGGCGCAGCATTTGACATCATTAGATCGTTGAGTTTAAGTGATGCAAATTATGCTAAGGCTTTAGAATTACTTAAAAAGAGATTTGATAATAAACCTTTAATTTTACAGGCACACGTCAAGGAAATTTTGTGGGCAAGGGATATATCGAATGAATCATCGACAAAGTTAAGAGAGCTTAGTGATCGAATCAATTTGCACATGCGTGCTTTACAAACATTGGGCACCAAAGAACAAATCGCAGACAATTTCTTGATCCAAATAATCAGTGCCAAGCTCGATTCTAAATCAAAGGCTAAATGGGAAGAAGAGTTGTCCGTCCATGATTTGCCAACGTGGGAAATGATGACTGACTTCTTAGAAAAAAGGTGTCGTGTATTGGAGAATATGGACGGTGCTATGGTCTCCCTAACACCTAGCCACCAGGTAGGAAAGAAAATTACTAAAAAATATAGTTATTTGGCAGCAAATATGGGTACTATCTCTTGCGTATTTTGCGACTCAAAGGATCACTATATTACAAAGTGCACACTGTTTATAAATCTTTCCCCAACGCTTCGATATAAAGAAGCAAAGAAGTTGCTGTTATGTTTAAATTGTTTACGCAAGGGTCACGCATTGAATAAATGCAAGTCTGGACATTGTCGTCATTGTGCTTCAAAGCATCATTCATTGCTTCATATGCAATCTGTATCTCCAATTAATTCGAAAGGCGTTGCACCTGAAATACATATAGCAAATCGGTCGGAAGAGCCATCAACTTCAAAAAATACGTCGCTGCTCTCACTGTCCTCTGTAACGTCTATTCCTAAAGCCCCAGAATTTCTATCTGAAAATAGTGTGCTACTAGCTACTGCAATCATTCTCATCAAAAATTCCTCAGGAACTTTCGTTCCATGTAGAGCAATTCTCGATTCTGCGTCTCAACTCAATTTTATAACTTCTCGTTTAGTCAACTTGCTGCAGCTAAATACGAAAACAACATACACAACCATATCAGGCATAGGGGATTCTACACTTGAAACAAACAAGGTTGTTGAGCTATTTACAAAATCGCACTCAGGCGATTATTCAACTTCATGCACTGCGATCGTTACAACAACTATCACAGATCCTCAACCAAACTTTAACGTAAACATTTCAGATTGGTCAATTCCAAACAACATCACCTTAGCTGATCCGATGTTTTTCAAATCACAGAGAATCGATGTGTTACTAGGTGGCGGCTTATTTTTTAACTTATTGTGTATTGGACAAATTCGTCTGGAAAATAATTTTATGTTACAGAAGACAAGGCTGGGTTGGATAGCATCAGGTGGCGGTATTATTCCAAAATACAATCACTCATTTTCGTTAGCTATAGCTAAGAAATCAACCACTGAATTGGAATTTGAAAATGAAAAATCGTTAAATGAAATTGTAAAAAGGTTTTGGGAAATAGAAAATTGTTTTGACGCGCACTCTTCGCTAACAGACGAAGACGCATATTGCGAAACCCATTTCAAACAAAATTTTACTCGGTTAGATTCTGGTAAATATTCTGTTTTACTTCCTAAGCAGCGTAATATCGACTCACTCGGAGATTCTTATAATCATGCACTTCAACGATTTCACAGTTTAGAAAGAAAGTTGCAACGTAATGCTGATTTAAAAACTCAATATGTTGATTTTATTAATGAGTATATAAATTTAAAGCACATGTCACCAGCACAATTACCATCAGGTGTTCCAACGTGTTTTTTACCTCATCATTGTGTGCTAAAAAATGAAAGTACAACTACAAAATTGCGTGTGGTTTTCGATGGGTCAGCTAAAACATCCACCGGATTTTCTCTTAATGATCTGCTGATGTCTGGACCTACAATTCAATCCACACTCTTTGAATTAATTATTCGATTCCGATATTTTAAAATTGCTCTTTGTGGAGATATCTGTAAAATGTATCGATGCGTGCGTGTTACACATCCCGATGAATATCTTCAGTGCATTTTGTGGAGAAGTAATCTCGATGATGACGTAAAGGTATTCAAATTGGACACTGTGACATATGGAACAAGGCCAGCTGCATTTTTAGCTATTCGAGCGATGCATCAGCTGGCTCGCGATGAAGAGAAATCATACCCATTGGGTTCTAAAATCGTTCTCAGAGATTTTTATGTAGATGATTTAATGTCAGGCGGCGACACCGTGGATGAAGTAATCAACATTAGAAGGCAAACTACTGAATTATTAAAAAAGGGTGGTTTCCAGATCAGAAAATGGTGTTCCAATAATCCAAGAGTATTGTGTGGTATCGCTGAATCCGAACGTGTACAATTATTGAAATTTAAAGATGGTTCTGATATTACTAAAGCATTAGGTTTAGTATGGGATCCAAACCACGACAATTTTTTATTTTCATTTACTCCAGTGGTAGGTAGCCAGCAAATTAACAAACGTACTGTTCTCTCAACTATAGCCCGTTTTTATGATCCAATCGGATTAATTGGACCTATCATCACCAAGGCTAAAATTTTCATGCAAACCTTATGGAAACACAAATTGCATTGGGATGAGAGTCTACCACAAGCATTATACTCAGCATGGATTGAACTTCGCTCTCAACTTACAATTATCAGCAGTTTTAAATTCCCTCGTTATGTTTTAATGCCTAATTCTAAAGTGCAGATACATGGTTTCTGTGATGCCAGTCTGAGTGCTTATGGTGCATGTATATATATCAGGTGTGAGCGCTCGGGTGCATTTGATTCGCATCTACTATGCTCCAAATCAAAGGTTGCACCACTAAAGACACTTACAGTTCCCAAGCTAGAACTTTCAGCTGCTCTACTTTTATCGGAACTCATTGATATGGTCGTCAAAACTATAAATTTTACATGCGATTTTCATTGCTGGTCAGACTCAATGGTGGTATTATCTTGGATACGTGAACAACCGTCCAATTTTAACGTTTTTGTCTCTAATAGAATTAGCAAAATTCAAACTCTTACCTGTGGCATGAATTGGCATCATGTACCAACTTCTATGAATCCTGCAGATATCTTATCAAGAGGAGCAGCGCCAGATGAACTTTTAGCCTCAACACTTTGGACACAAGGACCTGAGTTTTTAAGAACATCGCATTTACATTGGCCCCAAAATACTGTTTTCGTAGCAGAATTACCTGAACGACGCAGGAGAGTTTTAATAACTACATGTCAGCAAGATTTAACGCTATCCTGTAAATTCGCTAACTCATTTAATAAAATGCAGATAGTTTTCGCATATATTTATCGATTCGTGTCACTCAAACATAAAGAGACCATAAGGAAAACTGGCCAACTTGATCCTCAGGATATTGAAAGGGGTACAAAATTAATGATTTTAAACATACAACAAACTCATTTCGCTGCTGAATACAAAATATTAAAAAAAGGAGAAAATGTTAATAGTTCAAGTAAACTTTACTCCCTCAATCCTTTTATTGATTCATTTGGAGTAATTCGTGTAGGTGGTCGACTAAAACATTCATTACTAAGTTTCGAGGCTCGCCATCCAATGATACTTCCAAAAGCTCATGTTATCACAAACGCAATGATAACCTATTTTCATCAGAAGAATTTGCACGCCGGGCCACAAAGTCTGCTCGCCACAATTCGTTTGCAATATTGGCCAATTGGTGGTCGAAAAACTATAACACGCGTTATCAACAAATGTGTTCGTTGTTTTCGACTTAAGCAAAAACATGTCGAATATATAATGGGAGATCTACCGCGCGACAGAGTGCAACCAAATAGAGTATTCCACACTACTGGTATCGACTTCTGCGGTCCCTTCTATTATAAATCTGAAGTGCGAACCAGACCTCCAGTAAAATGCTACATCTGTTTATTCGTTTGTTTTTCGACGAAGGCTGTACATTTAGAAGTGGTAAAAGATCTAACTACATCATCGTTCTTAGCTGCTTTGAAACGTTTTACTTGTATTCGTGGAAATCCCAAAATAATTTGGTCTGACAATGCCACGAATTTCGTTGGTGCAAGGAACGAGTTAGCTGAAGTAAAACAATTGTTCGAAAGTAGCCAACATCTTAAAAATATTCATCAGCATTGTCTAAGCGATGGCATAGAATGGAAATTTATACCACCTAGATCTCCACACTTTGGTGGTCTCTGGGAGGCTGCCATAAAATCTGCAAAGCGTTTGTTTTACAGCACTGTTGGACTTTCAATCTTATCATTTGAAGAATTACGCACACTCGCATGCCAGTTATCGGCAGTGCTTAATTCTCGCCCTCTTTGTTCTATTTCAGAAAATCCAGACGATTTAGAAGTCCTCACACCAGCTCATTTTTTGGTGGGTGGTCCGCTAATATCAATATCTGAGCCCAACCTTACCACGTCTGACTTCTCTCGCTTAGACAGATGGCAACGAGTTAATTATATGCTACAAATATTTTGGAAAAGGTGGAGTGTCAACTACCTCACCCTATTGCAAGAGCGTAGCAAATGGCGCTCACCTGCAGCAAATGTTCGTGTTGGAGATATAGTACTAATACATGAAGACAATGTTCCACCTCTTAAATGGCATTTAGGCCGCATCACCAGCATAATATGCGGATCTGACAATGTGGCTCGAGTGGCGGAAATACGCACGAATATAGGAATTATCAAACGTGCAGTAAGGAAGGTGGCAGTTCTTCCAATAGACGATAAATATGTTTAAAGTCTGAGCCTTTCAACCGGGGGAGGATGTTTAGAGTAGTAATAATTATTTTTAACATTGTTTTACACTGCAACACTGTTTGTTTGAAAGGTGATTTGCATTTCATTTTTGCTTTATTAAATCTTTGTTCTTGCTTTTTTGCCTTTTATGCTTTGTATCAAAATTTGCAACTCTCTCTTACCGGTTGATCGTTGGCGAAGACGCACGCATTTGTTTCTTTGGTTCACTCGTTTATAAATTTTCAAATTTTGTAAAATAAATAAGAATGTACATTTATATAAAATATTATCATTTCGAAACAATATATAAATAAATAATTACAAAGTGATAAAAAATATTATCATATCAAATCAGATACTATGAATATCTTACATGTAAAAATTATATACTTTATCAAAAATTGGGAGTAACCAATGTATTGATTGGTTACTCAAGAATATATAGGAATTAAATAATAATTTTAGTACATAAGAATATTTTGTATAAATAGAGTAAGATTTTACAAATAAAACAGATTCTTTTTAAATTCTTTTGCGAAAGCAACAAGAATAAATTATTTTATTTGAATCTCTGGTTATATGCGGCATATTTGCTGGAAATACCATAAAGGCGGCTGAAGAGCTTAGAAAATACTTAAAGGCGGCTGAAGAGCTCAGATTAATACTTATCCTTGCTAGGTCGAAACCTTTTGGGGCTCTTAATTACTATCCCTTAGCAATCCTGTAAAGTTAATACATATCAATGTATTGGATGAAGAACCTTGCATGGCAATCCTGAAGCTACACATATTTGCATGGCATATTCAAAGCAAGACATCTTTACAATTATATTATGAACATCCTTAATAATATCATTACATGGCGATCCTGCAATTGACGGACCATTGGAATCTCGAAATTATTAAATCGAAAACTATTAAATATGCTGCAATTGACGGACCATTGGAATCTCGAAATTATTAAATCGAAAACTATTAAATATCCTGCGATTGACGGACCATTGGAATCTCGAAATTATTAAATCGAAAACTATTAAATATCCTGCAATTGACGGACTTTTTAAATAATGAAGAGATATAATTGTTTTATCTGTGGCAAAAGCTACAAAAATACTGAACAAACATTTAAACAAACATAATTTTCTGATAGATTATGCAAATAAATTAATAGAAGCAATCTTCAGAAATTATTAAACAATATGTCACAAGAAGATTTTGACAGACATTTTGCGGCAGCGGTGAAAACTTTAGAAGAAGCGTTAAAAAATCCAAAGGCAGGCCCAAGACCGATATCAATTGAGCAATATAAGCAACGTCATCCAGGTGGAAGACAGCAGCCAATAACAATCGAACAAACAAAAAAGAAGGTGCGCGGTGGCAAAAAACGAAAGGTATCCAAGGAAATTGGCAATCTCAAGTGTCTCTTGAAGATATCTCAAGGAGAAAATAAAAATATTTTACGGCAACAGCTTAAGGAGTTAAAGAAAAATGGGTGGAACCCAATCAACAGAAGAAATAGTAAACAACAATGTAGCAGCAACAGCATCAACAAATAATTTTAATACTAATAATTATATATCATATGTAAACTTTATATTTTTATTTATATTAATAATAATAAAAATTAATTCACATTTTAAAAAGTATATTAAAAAACAAGCAGTTAGAAATGCTAATGTTTAGGTATAAAAATTAAATAAAAATCATATATAAAAAAAAAATATATATCTTTTTTTCAAACTATTGTTAAATAATATAAAAATTTTCCAATAATGTACTCCAGATCAGATCATGACAAAATTAATGAACACATTTATATGATACTGATAATTTCATTTGTAATTTTAATAATTATTGTAATATTTTTGCTTCATTATATTATTAGCAAATACTTTGCATAGCAATAAATTCAATGTCATATGGATTTAATTGACTTAAGAAAAATATTAAAAAATTTAAAGAAAACTCCAAATAGAGTTTACACGAAACAGTACATAGTGAAGACAAAACTAATAATACATCAAATCTGGTTAGATATAGAAGAATATCATAAATCACTACATGGAGGACATTGCGGTATAAAAAGATGTATAAAAAGACGTATAAACAAACTGAAACAAAAATATGTATGGAAAAATATGAATAAAATGGTATAAAGTAATACATATAAAAAGCCTACCAATAACAGAAAAAGAAAATTCTGAATATTATATATTATACAGGAAAAATGACAGTTCTCTGACTGAAAGCCAGAGTTACCAGGCAATTAATATTTATTGTATAAAGAGTACTTTACATGACAACACTTCCTCTTAAAGTGTATTTATTATGTATAAAATATGATTTGCCTTAAATCAGAGAACTGTCATTTTTTCCTGTATTCCTTTTTATTCATTATTATATTAAATAAAAGGAAAGTAAAAACTTGTCGAAATCATCGAATCGTATGTATCATTTTTTGCTCAAATATATAATAGGTTATGAACCCAGCGAAGTAAAAGCACGTGCGAATAAAAAAAAAATTTTGTATATATAAATGTCGGATACGGTAATTCGCGTGGAACCGCTTAATGCGGAAAACTGAGATACGTGGAAGCTCCAAATGAGAGCTATTCTCGTGAAAAAACGAAAAAGATACACTGAAAAAGGATACACTCTCGCCGATGAAACAGGGTGAGAAAGTCCGAGAACATCTAAACGATTTCTTCGAAGCCGTTGTGAAATTGAAAGAAATTCACGTCACCATCGGGGATGAACTTCTTGCTATCCTGCTCTTATACAGTCTACCGGACTCTTTTAACACGTTCAGGTGCGCATTAGAAATGCGCGACGAGCTGCCGAAACCAGGTATACTTCGGTTTAGTATATTAGATGACAAGAGCGAATGTATTCAAAAACTCCATGGTCCATTGGTTAAAATCGAGTTTAATAAGTCTATGGCGCCCGAGTATTTCAACTGCAAACGCAATTTTAGCTTCAAGATCTCGTTTGAAAATTGCAGTTAAGGCGTGCGCAGCAGTGGTGCAGTCTCATGGAAAATAAAAAAAGAACAAAAATCATTCGAGCTCAGAAACTCGTAGAGATAAGTTCAATAGTGCGCAGTGATTAAGTTTAAAAAAAAAAAAAAACAAACAAAAAGTGTTTACATACAAAACAATAAAAGTGGAACAAAGTGCATAATAACCAGTGCTTGCAATTAAAAATTATAACGTTTTGTGCAAGTGTTAAACACTAACTATAAAGAAAAATAAAAATATAAATATAATAGTTAATAGAATTACATTCGGTATTTGACCGGTCAGCATTTAAGAGATAGAGACTCAAATTCCATAAAATCATTGTGAGCAACTAAACGGAATTAATAGTGAAAAATATTAAATCCCAATATGAGTGATATAGAAGGCAATAGTGACAATATGAGTGATATAGAAGGCAATAGGATCATGCAAGGACAAGTAGTAGTGGATTTTGCTACGCTGTCCCAAACTATAATGAACTTAGAGCAACAAAACAAAGAGATGCTCAAACTTATCAGCGACTTAAGAGAACAAAATTTAACGCTGTCTAAAAGAAACGAATAACTAATGGAATACATCATTAGAAGTAAATCCAATAAACTAAATAAAATAACATTGACGAGAAAGAAGAATTCTTCTCCAGTTACACCATCCAAATCTATTGTAAACTCCAACAATGCAGGAATCTCAGTATAAGTCGAAGATAGTGAAAAAGATGAATTCACTATAATTAAATCAAAAAAAAGTGATGAAGAAAAATCCTAATACGGAAGATTAGGATTTATTGTGCCCATCACAATAAAAGACAACATTCACTTATGAGGGTATTAGAACACAGAAGTATAAAATATGATGAAGCTAAACGGGTAAGAAGCGGTTTTCAAATTACCCCCTCCACAACAGATGATCACCGTAAATTGACAAAGTATTTGTAGGAAACTAAAGCAGAATTTTACACATACTTCTTGCCTAGCAAAAAAAATATTAACATAATCATCAGAGGTCTTGAAGGTATCAATCCTGATGAAATTAAACAGGACTTAAATGCTAAGGAATTCAACGTACTTAAATGTCACTGAAGACAAGAGCTGACTCAAAACCCAAGCTAGTCAAAATAAGACTACCAAAGGAAGAGATGTCAGTATAAGAAATCTCATCAATTTGTCACCTAAAAGTATGCATTGAAGCACAAAAAGGTAGCAACCTCCCCATTCAATGCCACAACTGCCAGCAATTTGGACATGTCTCAACAAATTGCAGAATGCAAAGGCAATCATCCGGGCAACTATGGAGGTTGCCCAAAAAATCCAATCTATATCAAAAAGAAAGTAATCGAAACTACAACTCAATAAACTAAAAACATCAAGAACAAGGTCACCGAAGGTGTATCATACGCTAGCGTAGCCAGCTCAAATAAACAACATCATTAAACCGCAACACACAGTGAACAAATTAATAGACTTATCTTACACTGCCGTAGCACCGGCAGTCTCCAATACAGACATTATAGATGACGAGATGGAAGCTGTCATAAGTGATGCTGAAAGCGAGCAACCTAACCCTCCTGACGACTATATGGCCAGTAGCAGCAACTTAAGCCAACCTGCCTACACCATGACCTTCACCAAGGCTGACGGCATTCCACCGCCAAACATCTCAATATTGCAACAGTATCCAACACCTAAGGAAGCGGCTGCTTCCAGAATGAAAAATAAGGCAACGCAGCCCGTCAGCAAGCCAATAACAACAACAAACAAAAAACTCAACAAACTACAAAACCTGGTAAGCGAACCATTGGTCCTCCTTTATTCGTAGTGTATGACGCCTCTCAAAAAGAACTCATAAGTATATTATCCCACCAACTGGGACACAATAAATTTATCATTAATATAATCAATAAAAATGTTACACATGTAAGCACCATCACGATGGAGGACTACAATAGTGTTAAATCCTTGCTGAAAAGCAAAAATTTTAACTTTTTA